CTTTTTCTTCCTGATACCAGGAGACAAAACTCTCATGTGAAAGTTGCCCTCCTTATACCAGAAGAAAGCCATTGTTATCACCAGAGACAGAGCTGAGGCTGAAAGAAATCTGTACAAACCCTGTTAAACTAACCCTTATCTAATCCTCTGGGCAATGGAAAAGATGGTGATGTCTTAAACTGGGATAGAAAATATTTTAAGCACGGAGAATGAGGCATTCCATTCCGAACAAAGTACCTGTGAGACATCCAGATAGAGATGTCCTGTTGACAGTCACTTGGGCCTGGAGCTCTAAGAAGTAGTCTGACTGGAGACATAAATTTTGAAACCATTTGTAGAGAAGAAACTGGGGCCACAAGAATGGATAGGGGCTGGGTGCAGTGGCTCATGCTTGTAATCCCAGCACTTTGGGAGGCCGAGGTGGGTGGACCACCTGAGATCAGGAGTTTGAGACCAGCCTGGCCAACATGGTGAAACACCATCTCTACTAAAAGTACAAAAATTAGTTCAGCATGTTGGTGTGTGCCTGTAGTTCCAGCTACTTGGGAGGCTGAGGCAGAAGAATTGCTTGAACCCAGGAGGCGAAGGTTGCAGTGAGCCAAGATCACGCCACTGCACTCCTGCACTCCAGCCTAGGTGACAGAGTGAGACTCCATCTCAAAAAAAAAAAAAAGAAAGAATGTATGGGTTTGCCTAGGAAGAATGTGTAGGGTAAGAAAAAGGCCTAGAACAGGTCCCTGAAGCACTCTTAACATTAAAGGCGCTGGCAGAGGGGCTGCAAAGGAAACTGATTTAAAAACAGAGCAGCAGGCCAGCAATGGTGGCTCACTCCTGTAATCCCAACACTTTGGAAGGCTGAAGTGGGCAGATGACTTGAGGTCAGGAGTTCGAGACCAGCCCAGCCAACATGGTGAAACCCCATCTCTACTAAAAATACAAAAAATTAGCTGGGTGTGGTGGCGTGCACCTATAACTCCAGCTACTCAGGGGCCTGAGGCAGGAGAATCGCTTGAACCCAGGAGACAGAGGCTGCAGTGAGCCAAGATAGCACCATTGCACCTCACCCTGGATGACAGAGCAAGACTCTCTCAAACAAACAAACAAAAACAGAGCAGTAGGAGGAAAGCTAGGAGATAGTGTCATTAGAGAAGCCAAAAGAAGGAGATGATTTGACCAAAGTAAACATGGTGAGGGCGGGGTGGGGCTCGGGGGTGCGAGGTCAGGTAAGGAGGCCATAAGACCACATGCAACAAGGACAGAATGAAGGCTGCAGACAAGGAGGACTGAAGGACTTCAGGAGAGTACAGTTACTCCGGGCTCTGTTTCAGTGGGACCTACATCTTGCTGATGATACCACAGCTAGCTTTTTGAATAGCTCCCTAAATGCCAGCCTTCAAATCTGACTGAATACGAAATAGACCAAGAAGCAGGCTAAGGAGAAAAAATAATTTTCCAATTCCAGTTTTGGAATAATGCTTGTTGTAATCCAACTCTACTCACTAGCCAAACATATTGGATAATGGATGACAGCAGGATGCCCAAGTCCTTGACGAATAGTGAGTTTAAGTAGGTCAATGAAGAGCAGAGAAGGAAGTAAAAATGCTCCAAAATACCCCGGCAAAGTACTTCAAACAATATGGCTTTGCTGTGGATGAGCAGAAACCACAATAGATGTATTAAGCTGGTCAACAACAGTCAGAAAGGAGATGCTCTTTTTTATTTCATTTTAAATTTTAATTAATTAATTAATTAATTTGAGACAGAGTCTCTCTCTGTTGCCCAGGCTGCATTGCGGTGGTGTGATCTCAGCTCAGTACAACCTCCGCCTCCCAGATTCAAGCAATTCTCTGCCTCAGCCTTCCAAGTTGCTGGGATTCCAGGCACCTGCCACCATGCCCAGCTAATTTTTGTATTTTTAGTAGAGATAGCGGTTCACCATCTTGGTCAGGTTGGTCTTGAGCTCCTGACCTCGTGATCTACCTGCCTGGGCCTCCCAAAGTGCTGGGATTACAGGCATGAGTCACTGTGCCTGGCTGATCTTTTTTAGGTTAAAAAAAGCTTTAAGCAAATTCTAAACCTATGAGCCAGAGTGCCAAGCATCAGAGACTCTTTAAATGCTGACTCTAGATCCACATTTTCACATACAAAGTATCATCTTTATGTATCTTCTGTGGTAAGTTCCTACATTTAGGTTTACAAAACTCTGCAGCACACATGCAAGACTTGGGTTGGCAGCAGGTTGTGTAAAAAACAGCTGAGTCTGTAAAATTACCACACAAGTTTAGCATGAGCAAACAGTGACATGTGACTGCTAAAAATGTAAATACGACTGTAGTCCACTTTAATAGACGTGTCCAGATAATAAAAATAGTCCAACTGCATTCTGAATTGATTAGAATAAATCTGGAAGGCCGGGCACGGTGGCTCAAGCCTGTAATCCCAGCACTTTGGGAGGCCGAGGTGGGTGGATCACGAGGTCAAAAGATCGAGACCATCCTGGTCAACATGGTGAAACCCCGTCTCTACTAAAAATACAAAAAACTAGCTGGGCATGGTGGCGCGTGCCTGTAATCCCAGCTACTCAGGAGGCTGAGGCAGGAGAATTGCCTGAACCCAGGAGGCGGAGGTTGCGGTGAGCCGAGATCGCGCCATTGCACTCCAGCCTGGGTAACAAGAGTGAAACTCCGTCTCAAAAAAAAAAAAAAAAAAAGAATAAATCTGGAGTACTGTGTTCAGTTAAAAGGGTCACATTTTTGGCCAGGCACGGTGGCTCACAACCTGTAATCCCAGCATTCTGGGAGGCTGAGGCAGGCAGATCACAAGGTCAGCAGTTTGAGACCAGCCTGGCCAACATGGTGAAACCCCTACTTAAAAAAATACAAAAACTAGCTGGGCATGGTGCCTGTAATCCCAGCTACTCAGGAAGCTGAGGCAGGAGAATTGCTTGAACCCATGAGGTAGAGGTTACAGTGAGCCGAGATCAAACCATTGCACTCCACCCTGGGTGACAGAGCAAGACTCTGTCTCAAGAAAAAAAAAAGGAGGGGTCACATTTAAAGAGTGATAGCTCTTACTCTTCCCCTCCTTTCCATTCCCAATGTTAGATGCTCTCATCTCACAGCTAGCATGGTAGATTGTTTCCAAAGATGACCCAACAACCCCTCCCATGGCCCATGCCTTTTGTGGTGTTACTTTGCCAATCTTCTTATTAAGAGGTAGACTCTATTTCTCCTCCTGGTGAATACAGGGTAACTCTGAGTCTTACTTTGACCAACAAGAAATGATGGTCACAGGTCTAGGCCTAAGGGGCCTCACAGCTTCTATTTTTGCCCACTTTGTTGCCAGCCACCAAGTCAAGAAGCTGGAGCTAGACCACTGACTGACAAGAGCCCATGTGAAGAGAAAAGTCATGTGGAGGAGAAATGAAGCACTCAGCCAGCAGCTAGCACTGACACCCTATACATGTGAGTGAACTCATCTTGGCTCTTCCAGCCCTAGTCAAGCCAATGCTGGTGATGTCCTGTGTCTGTGTGATTGTCTAACGTGGCAGTCACTAGCCACATACAGGGCTACTGAGTCCCTGGAATGTGGCTAGGGCATCTGAAGATTTCATTTTTAATTTCATTTTCTTTTAACTTAAATTTTAAATAGCTAGTGGCTACTATATAGGTCAGTATAAACGTCTGTTACCACCCTAAGTCATCCAGCATAATCCTGCTAAAGCAACTGGGCACAGGGCAGTCAAAAATCACCTTAGCACCTGCCCTTTGAGGGGCTGTAAGTACATACACATAGACAAGAGAAGGCAGTGGAGAAGGATGCAGTGTAGCTCTGTCAGCCTTGTTTTAACAAATGAAAGAAAAAGATCTCCCTCCAACATCACCCAAAGGAAAGGAGTGACCCATTCTAACAACGGCATCTGCATAAAAGGTGGGAACCACAAAGGGAAATTTCCAAGCAACACAATATATCACGAGTCCACATCTAGCTTAGAGAACTCCTGACTAGTAAAGTAACCTTTAAAAGCTGTCTTCCTCATCTGCTGAAAAACAAAATTTCAACAGTTCCCTGGTTCACTTTTTTGGGGGGAGAGGAGGGACATAAAGGAAATATGAGCGTCTACAGTGCGTGCTAGACACAGCCACGTTTGTGATACATCGAATTCTCTTAATCCTTTTTTCTCTCTCTCAAACTAAGCGAACAGAATTTCAGAGTGGTTGTAATTTGCCTAACGACCTAGGACTTGTCAGTGCTAAAGATAAAATTCCAAACCAGGCCTCTGAATTTCCGACCCCCTACTCTTTCTACCACAGCAGAATGCCTCTCCCATCAAAAATAAAACTTTCTAACGGCCTATTGAGCGTTTCCGTGATCTCTCCACCTAAGTACTTCCAATTAATGCCTTCTTAGCAGACTGATCTCATTTTTCTTCCCTCCACTTAATCCTATAGTTCCTTTTCCTCTAATTCTACCCATCCTTCAAACTTCAGTTTAAACTTTTTTCCTTCCATAAAACTTTGCTCAGTTTAACACAATTTCCCTCTCTGAATTTTTGTATTATTTATAATAGGCACCACATAATATAGCGCTGTTTCCTGCTTTTCCCTTAAATAGGCCTTAATCTCCTTGAAGACGAGCCATCCTTTATTTTCGGGGAGTGGCAATCTTCCCAGATTTCTTTAGTTTTCCCCCAGAGCCGTGAGTAGATACTTCTGGAATGGACGAATGATCTAAACTCAATAGACAAATACTTGTTGATTCATTAGAGTCAGCTCCAAACTCTGCTGTTTTACCCTTTGCTTTATAATCTACCGCACACCAATTAATCCAGAAGGGCCGACTGGCGACTCCACACTGCAGCCCCGCCACGTAACGCTCTCCGCCCGTTCCGTCACGCCACGCCCAGCCTGCTGGTTGCTGCTTGGGCGTGGCCCAGCCCTAGGACGGCCGATTGGGCGTGGTGTGCGTGGCTGAAGGCGTGGCTGAGAAGAGGAACTTACGCTCAGGGTCAGACTCGGTAGTTTCCGGTAATCCTCGACAATTTCCGGCAATAATTTTTTCCTCGTCGACCCACCTCGGGCATTTCCGATATACCTCGGGCTTTTCCGTCTGGTTCCCGCTCGGCTTTCTCCACTTCGGGTGTTTCCGTGTCCCGCTCGGAGGCACTCGGCAACGCTCGGCCTCCCCCATCCCCCGGTAACGGTCGCTGGTGAGTTTAAATGAGCCGGGGCTGGCCGGGTCGGAGCCGCTAACCGGGGGGGCCTGAGGCGCTGCAGAAAGTGATCCTCGAGGATGACGGTGCTGCAGGAACCCGTCCAGGTAATGATAACTCTCTTCTCTGAGGCCCGGCTCACAGCCTCTGTCGGGAAGCAGCGTAGGGCCACTCCGCGGCCTGGTGCGGCCTAGGCCGGGCTGCTTCTCCCGCCTCCCCTGCCGCCGAGTCCTGCCTATGCTTCGTCAGTTCGGAGGCCTTGGCCGCAACCTGAGCCGCGTTACCTCGGGCCCTTCGTTCCTTTCACCCTTAGTGTAGGCGGCTTCGTTGAGCATAACCGCCGTTCGCGTCCGAGCCAACGTCCGGCCAGCCCTTCCTGTCAGTCCAGGGGCCTGGCTGGACCCGGGGTGGGGGAAGAGGGTCCGAAAACGCTCCCCGGACGCTCTCTTGCCTCCACGATGACCGAGAAGCACATTTGATCAGAGCTTGGATGATGTTAGCGATGGTGGGGCAAGTTTGCGGAGGTTTTTTGTTGTTGTTGTTTTTGTCTTACGTGAGAGGGTGGAGGGGACGAGTAGGATCGGTCGTTTTCGTACTCATTTCTATTTTGGTAGCGGACTTCCTAGCCCACGTCGCCTTTCTCGGGGAATTTCCCACCGGACAATGACGATTGGAGAAGACAACTCCAAGCCTCAGGGCGGAGGTGCAAGCCCCTACACCGGGGCGGCGGGTGGAAAGGGCTCCTCTGGGGCGTTTTCACCCTCGGTGAGGGGCATCCGGAGCATTTTGTTGTGCGTGTTTGCAAGGCACTCAGGAAATGAAAGACAAAAAATGTGTTTTCTGTCCGTTTCGCCGCCCTTACACCAAGATTTGCTTTGACTCCCCGTGCTGTGTTACATGAGAGAAACCCTATTGGGTTTTGAGTATGTGATGCGCTGCCAAGTCATTCCCCCCGCCCCCCCGCAGCTGGAGAAACGGACTCTTTTGTGCCTTGGGAATGGACCAGGTCTGGGAGACTTCATCCTACCGTGTGATGTTTGCCTTGATCAGAATTGACCTCTATCAACTGCTGTCATTGAGTCATGGACTTCATTTTGAAGTTACAAAGCAAACCCATTTTTATAAATTCCTTCATATTGCCCTTAAAAGGCTTGAGGTATCAAATAGTAAATGTTTTAACATACCACTACTTTCCTGTTTATTTAATTTTTCTTCACAGCATGAAATACTCATTTCTTCTCCAGCTGTTTACATGTAGCAGCTATTAGTGTTTGAATTCATAAAACGTAAGATTATACCTTATGAAATTTACCCTTCTGTAAATTGTATCAGTTCTTCTAGAGCGATTTCCATCCAAATTCTTCTTAACGGTATAACATTTCTTTAAAAACTTTTTTATTCCATGGCTGTAGATAAGGTGATTATATATACATAATTTTTTTAGGCCTAGCATGAGCTTAAATAGATAAGCAGATTACTCAAGTTGTTTAATTTCTGTTGCATATCCTTGTAATTTCATTTTAATAATTAATGAGGTTTTTTTGTTTTGTTGTTGTTGTTGTTGTTTTTTGCTTTCTCTGGCTCCAGAAGTCTTCTAAACTGATAAACTAGTTGCATTGACAGTCTATAACCACCGTTTAATAATTTCAGACATTATAAAAGCGTGGAAAAGAAAAGAAATATGTAGCCTATTTCGAGATGATACCCATGAGGTTTCCTGTTTGTACTTAAAGTACTCTTAGCAGTAATTATACACTTAGATATTTTTAAGGCTTAAAGGTCAAATTTGCCTATTTTTCCCAGTAGCACTGTTCACTAGATTTTTGAGATAGCGGTAGAAAGCTTTAGGATATGACTAAGTGAGATTTTTGGTTGTATAGTATAAGAAGCAGCCATTCAAGAAGGGATGATTTGGAGCAGTGAGAATAACTAGCAACTTTGGCAACAATGATAAAGATCAATGATCAAGGATAGTGCTGCAAATGGGAAAGAATTAGTAAGTAAGAGAATAAAAATAGGACAGATATAAAAATACTGTCTTTAAAAAAAAACTATGATGACAGATTGCATGTATTTGGAAAGCAATGAGAATAAGTTGGAAAATTGTTTTCTTTCTTGGAATGCCTCAGAGTTGATGTACTAGGCATAGGAAGAAGTTGACAGAAAAGATGAACAACTATTTTCTGCATTTTTTTTCTTTAAAGTTTTAACATAGAATGGCCAGTCTGATATACCATATATGCCTAAATTAAAACTCTGTCTCAAATTACTACCTCTCCGAAGAGTATTACATTTGAGTCCTCACAAAAATCTCACATATGAGGCAGAAGTTCTGTCAGTTCTTTTATTTTTAATGGTAACTATTTGGAAAGACACACTAGCTTGAGTGACGTCAGTGAGAGCTTTTTGGGTATTTATAAAGTCACCTGATGAAATTGGTATTTAAAAAAGAAGCAAAGAGATTTTATATAGATTTAGCAATTATTCCTAGGGGTAAGACTTCACAGAGGTGTTGGATGAAGTTGTAAATAAGCCTTTTGAAAATCGATTTCATAAGCAATATAGCAATTGGGTATTATATACATGATATTGTTTTAGAGATCGTTACATGGTGAAGGAGTACTTTTGGCTGGGGGTAAAATGTTGAGGGACAACATCTAACATGGATTCAAAGAGTATGGATCTTTGAATGAGAAGTTTAGATTTAATGTACATTGGTAATGAATAACTATTAAATGAGCAGAAGAGTTTTTGAGCAGAGGAATTATGTAATAAAAGCACCATTCCCAGGTTAATATCTGGGAATATTAATCTGTTGCTATTGGAAAAGGAAGAAGGGACAAGAGTTAGACATACAGACTAGTAGAATAATCCAACTGCGTGATAATGTAGACCAGGGCTTCTTAATCTGGACACTGGTGACATTTGGCACACAAGCTATTAGTTTGTTGGAAGCTGCGCATTGTAGACTGTTTTGTAGCATCCCTGGCTTCTGCCCACCAGATGACCCCTCCATTTGTCACAACCAAAAATACCCTGTAGACATTGCTAAATGTTGGGGCGTTAGTTGGGAGCAAGAAGGCAAAACTGCCTACAATAAGAACCACTGATGTGCACCTAAACTAAGTCAGTGTCCTAGAAATTAGATTATAATGTATAATAAGAAATTTCAACTGTGATTTTTTTTCTTCATATCTTCATACATTTTCTGAAGCCATTATTATCTGTTTCTTTTAAAGTCTTTTTAAAAAGGCAGCTGACTGGGTACAGTGGCTCACACTTGTAATCTCAGCACTTTCATAGGCTGAAGCGGGCAGATTGCTTGAGCCAAGGAGTTCAAGACTAACATTGGCAATATAGGGAGAACCTGTCTCTTTAAAAAAATAAAATTTAAAAAGTTAGCTTTTTTGACAAAAACAGGAACATAAAATGTATTAAAAATTTTGACAAAAACAAGAACATAAAATATATTAAAAATTTTGACAAAAACAAGTATAAAATTTTTTTATAATAAACTTTCTGTAACAAAAAATGTATGGTGATTACATGTAAGTCTGAGTATAACTTATAGAGGTTTGTTTCTATTTAAAATAATATATTTAAGAATAGTTAACTGGTAAGGAATTTTGCAACTTTAAGCTGTTGGTTTATTTATCTTTTAAATTAGTGCAACTGGGGACTAACCCATTAATCAGTCGGATTTCTCTTAAATATTTTTTGACGGAGAGGAAGAAGGAGTGTTGTTCTTTTGGCTTCATAACTTTCTTGTAGCAGCGTTTCATCCATCTGGCTTTAATTTGTAGAACTCTAGCGGTAATGCACTGGGTATTGTTCTTTAGGGGAAGTTCTACGCCATCAGTTGGGCAGAGGAGCTGGTTTTAGCTGTGTTGGTCATCAGCTACTACTTATGTATCGTGCCTTAGATAATAATCTGTTCTCCCCTCAAACACCCCACAAGAGACACCATCAATCAGGAACTTAGAGTGAGCAAAGTGGGATGGAAGCTGTATGTGGGATTCTCTACATGGCAGGTTTTTTCTGATGCTTTTAAGAATTGGTGATAAAGGAATGATGTTCTGAGCAAAGCTTGATTTTAAATCGGAAATGGATGGAACTCTTGAATATGATACCTTTTTTCCTTGATTTTTTTCCCCAGCTCCTACCCGTCATTTCTTTAAAAAGACAGAAAAAATTTCAAAGTTCTAGGATTTTATGACTTTAGTATATGAGTGAAATTTTCCTAGTAGTCCATAGTATTAAAATGGCTTGTAAGGGCCGGGTGCGGTGGCTCACACCTGTAATCCCAGCACTTTGGGAGGCCAAGGCGGGTGGATCACAAGGTCAAGAGATCGAGACCATCCTGGTCAACATGGTGAAACGCTGTCTCTACTAAAAATACAAAAATTAGCTGGGCATGGTGGCACGCGCCTGTAGTCCCAGCTACTCAGGAGGCTGAGGCAGGAGAATTGCTTGAACCCAGGAGACGGAGGTTGCGGTGAGCCGAGATTGCGCCATTGCACTCCAGCCTGGGTAACAAGAGTGAAACTCCATCTCAAAAAAAAGAGAAAAAAAAAAAATTGCTTGTAAATCATTTGGGTCTTTTGTGGCTTATATGTTGCAAAATCAGCAGTTGTAGCAGGTATGCTGATGAGATGTTATACAACGGAAGCTACGTATTTCTTGAATTTATATTAAGAGATTGACAAGGAAAAGGTTTTAAGTGCTTAATGTGTGACCGTCAATATACAAGGAGCATTATAAATGGATCATTTTATTTAATCCACAAACAACTCCAAGAAATAAACTCCATCTATCAGATGAAGAGATTGAGGCTGAGAAAAGTTGAGTATTTCCCACAAAGTCCCACTACTGGAAGTGCTGGCAGACAAATTTGAGCATGTCTCCAAACATCAGATCTTTGGTATCTTCGTTCTATTCACCATTTTCTTTAACTTACAACAAAACTAAACATGTAGGTTCTTGGGAAATCCCAGATTTTATAAAGGAGTAATTAGATGGTAATTATTTGCATAATAAACTAATAATTCTATTTATCACAGAGTTGCTTTCAATAGAGACTCCCAGAGATCCTTAATTATTAGATATACATCCAGGAATACAAAGAAACTTAATACTAAGACTAACGTACAAGAGTGTTAACAGTGGAAGACTGCCAGAAGTTAAAGATCATTTGTTTATTCATTCAACATATATTTACTAAGCACCTGCTTTAAAAGCACATGATAGATGCTGGGAGTATAATAGTGAGCAAAAACAGACGTAGCGCCTACCTTCTGGAGTATATAATATGGTGAGGAAGACATCACTCCCCTAGATTAATACAAAATTACAGCAGTGGCAAGTATTACAAAGGAAAGGTACTTGGTGCAATTAGAGCATATAATAATGGTGCCTAATCTCATCTTTTTCCTTGTATCTAGATAGGAATGATAAAGTTTGACATCTTTGAGACTTTATAAAATTTAAGCTGTATAAACGAAGGTTAAACAAGAGGCTCTGGAGACCCCAAACTAAGTTTATTACTATTCTTTCTTGAGGAACTAGAAAGGGCTGTCATTTACTACTTTTATTTTTTAAAATTATAAT